TAATGGGGGGGGGGGGGGTCTATGGGTAGGTGGCACTGTTTACTGACCCCTGTAAGTGATCTGGTGGCTGTTCAACTGCCAGGATCACTCCTGCTGTAAAGCTGACGGTCACCGGTACACTTCCAGGGGCCGTTACACAGATAGACCCCCCCTTAAAGAGAACCGGTCACCTCCAATGTGCCATCAGGTTAAATATATATATTTATACTTTTTGCTGCCAGCTAAAAGGTTAGATAGATATATTTGGGTCTTTAAGGATACCACCTGCTTCTATGTACACCTCTGTCTGCTCATTAGAGGTTTCTAAGCGCGACACATTTAACTCAACATTGATTCAGTCCATCAATAACCAATAGAAGTTTGTCTGTGTCGACATTGTAGTTAAACTGTCCCAATAAGTTGGCATTTCTAACATCTTGCTCTTCACGATTGTCTACATCACTCTCAGTCATTTGTTTTGGCTGGGGGGGGGGGGCTGTGGGTCTGGATTAATTTTTTTTTTGAATCCCCCCAGGAACAGGGAACGCCCCAAGCTCGGTGGAGAAGCCCAAACTCCAAAATAAGAAGTGATGCAAAGACATTTTATGATGGAGGCCCCAAGATATATAAAATATCACAAGGTGACTCGCTTAGCCCACTCTGCCAACCTAATTGGTATTTTATTTCTAATATGCGCATGGGGAAAAAGTTATGTTTAGGGCCTGCTTCGGAGACCCCTGGCCAAGGCGGTATAAGTTGCAGCTCCACTCACCAGCAGAGATATCCACAGGGTCCTCCTCCTCTTTGATCTGCATCTCATCTGATTGCTCTGTCTGCGTCGCCACCTCATTTCCTGATTCCTCTAGCTAAGAGTTAAACAGAATAGCATTTATCAGTCTCCAAGGGTCGTACGAGTTGGCAAGGGTTCAACTTTACAAATCTTTTGCCCAGGCAATGGACAGGCGACCTACCTGATCCTCCTGGTGGGTGCCATTTTCTTCCTCTGGATCCTTCTCTTCCTCCTTGCAATACTCACTGGCTTCCCCATTATAGTCTGTAGTATCGCACCGGTCGTTGCAGTTGTCGTCTTCTGCATAATTACATGGAATAGCCTCAACCTCCTGTTTAACACTCTTCGGGCAGTGAGGTGCGGAGGAGGGGTCTTGACTGCTTTTCCTCTCCGCTCTGCTCCTGGGTCCTGGCATAAAAAAAAAAAACACCATTATTTTATATCGATTTGTAAACTCTTAACCTCGACCTAACCCATCAAGATCAGTATAACCCCTCAATTTAACCCTTGACCTCAGTCTGACCCCCAATGTAGCCTTACCGCTAAACCTGGACTAGGCAACCTCGGCACCCCAGTTGTGGTGATGCCTCTGGCTCTGGGAGTCATGCTTGTGGCCTGTCAGAGTCTTGCAATGCCTCCTGGGATTTGTAGTTTCACCACAGCAGGAGGGTTGAGGTTGCCTACCCTTGCTCTGAAACCTTCATCCTCAAACAAATTTTATACAGCTGATAATAGATCTGACAATGCTGGGCATATACAGCAGCAGATTTGAGATGGTCATGACAAGTATGAGTGCCCGGGTCACATTAGCCCAGAACAGATGCACAAAGCGGACCTTCAACCTCTTCTATACTTTCCTTTAAATTACTCCCCCGCGCACTTCTGAATTTCTTGGCAAGATGAGAATGGCGTGCCCCAGCTGCCCACAGTAATACTCGCCTCATTCATTCCAGGAAGCTTTGGGGGAAATCATACGCATGCACCCCGTCATCAGGTGGCCGGCTGTCTCGTACTATTTCTTGCAGCCGTCCCAGACGACACGCATTTGCCGCAGCGTGTCACCAAAGGGGACGGCTGCAAGAGCCAGGAAGTTACAGCCTGATGATGCAAGAGAGAAACATGGAGGAGTGAGACCTGGTGAGCAGCAACAAAGCAGCAGATTGTGAGTATTGGTGGGATTGGTTAGTATGTATATTTAAGGGAACCCAGCGACAAAAAAGGCAAGTTGGGATGTAAAAAAAAAAACTGAAAGGGGTGGGGGAGTGAAGTTTTTTTTAAAGTGGACCTTGACTTCCAAAAAGGACTTTGCATCCCTACAATCTAAAGCCGGCCATCACAATTTCATTAGAACAATTTTTTTTTCGGAATATTCATTTTGATATTCAAATAGTTCACGGGGTCAAATCAACGATCAAATCAAAGACCCGGGATGAAGGTGAAGATGGTTCTCGTTCATTTCCAAAATAAAAAATAAAAACGATGTTCATAAAGTCTCCCAAAGAACTTGAAGTCAATTTGTCGCTGGCTATACGGCGGGGAGGGGGGCGATGGTAGGCACCGGAATCGTCTGACGATTTGGGACTTCGAAGGTCACCTTGGAACTCTTGACACCCGGAGAACACAAAAAGCGAATAGACCTGTTGGGTAATATTCACCCAAGTTGGAAGACAAGCCCTCCCCCCATGTGCGCCGTTTTGTTGCAGCGGCTACGTTCTCCTTACCCGGCTCCGGCTTCTGATCCTCCATCTCCATGTCCCCGGCTCTGCAGACCCCTACAGGTGTGAAAAAAAACCAAAACAAAAACAGGGTTAGAAAAGCTCCTAAACCAATTGTAACTAATACAAATTGTTTAAGATTCAAACACAGGACGTTAGTTGACAGAGAGGAAGGGGGAGGGGTCAAAAGAGGAAGGCGGTGCCAAAGCTTCGGCACCGCCCTTTAAAATAAAAGTCCCAATTTTTCCATTTCCAAAAGTAAATCTCTCCGGCCCCCCCATCTGTGAATTTTCTCGCTAGAGCAAAAGACCGATTCTATCACGACCGGCCACCAAATTGGCTGCCCATCGATCCATCCACGACCCACCTGACACAATATCGCGGTTGGCTCTACGTAAAGAAGACTAACCACATTTTGTTTTTCCTTTCCTCAACGGACTCGCAAAACAAAAAAAGCCGAAATTTTTCAACAGCGTCAACGAGTTAACCGGTTCCATTTGAAAAATATTGTAGAGCGGCCCCGGAACGTCATGGGGAATACGTTTTCGCGAAGAAATACGACGGGCGATTGCGATCGCAGCAAGAACAAATTAGTGCGAGCCTGGCCTTTCTCGCAGGGGGCATCGGCTCGTATTCGCGATGGCCGGTGAGGTGTAACGCGGTGGCCAACTCTAGAGAGGGGTCAACAATGGTGTGGATATGATGGAAAGTGAGTTCATGTAAGTGATGAGGAGAATGAGCAGAAGGGAAGAGGAGAAGGACAGAGGAGTCTGGAGCTATCAGGAGCTGAGAGATATAGATAGGACACCAGAAGAGGATAGTCTACCCCCCTTCATCACACTCTACTGACCCCTCACCCTCCACTGCCAGCGAACCGTCCGATCTCCACACAGGAAGGGGCGAGTCAGTGACGATGACGTCACGTCCTCCCGGCCCCGCCCACTCACGGGAAATGTAGTTTTCACTAACTTCCCCGACACTAGAGGGGAGGAGACTTTTCCCAGCTGTCCTCAAGCGACCATTTTGTCGGAGCCCAGCGGGGCATAATGACATTATAGCTCTACTATACTTTCTTCTTTATTCCTACAAATGGTGTAAAAACTAGTCATGTTTTGAATAATAACAGTTTTTATTTTGTTCTACTATTAGTAGGGTTGTTTTTTTTAATTATTATTGTTGTTGTTTTTAATATTACAATAGCATTATTAGTGGCATTATTATTTTCTATTATTATTATTTACCATTAGAATAGCATTATATCGTTATTAGTAGTAGTATTATTATATTTATTGGTAGCAGGATTGTTATTTGTATTAGTTGTGGTTTTAGTAGTATTTCATAACCTAGTACATACAGAACTAACATTATTATTATTATTTTTAATATTATTATTGTTACATTCAATAACAACAAGAATCTTAGAGGCATTTTGTTTTTCATTAGCAGTGTACATTTATCCTAAAAAACCTTAATACCTTTTTCTTTGCACTTGTGGCAGTAGACAGCTCCGCCTACAACTTCATCCACATTTGTGGCAGTAGACATCCCTACCTACAGCTTCATTCACACTTGTGGCAGTAGACAGCTTCGCCTATTGGTTCATTCACTTTTGTGGCGGTAGACAGCTCCTCCTACAGCTTCAGCCACACTTGGTGGCAGTAGATAGCTCCGCCTACAGCTTCATGCACACTTGTGGCGGTAGACAGCCCCGCCTACAGCTTCATCCACACTTGTGGCAGTAGACAGCTCCGCCTACAGCTTCATCCACACTTGTGGCAGTAGACATCTGTGCCTCCAGCTTCATCCACACTTGTGGCAGTAGACAGCCCCGCCTACAGCTTCATCCACACTTGTACCAGTAGACAGCCCCGCCTACAGCTTCATCCACACTTGTGGCGGTAGACAGCCCCGCCTACAGCTTCATCCACACTTGTGGCAGTAGACAGCTCCGCCTACAGCTTCATCCACACTTGTGGCAGTAGACAGCTCCACCTACAGCTTCATCCACACTTGTGGCAGTAGACAGCTCCACCTACAGCTTCATCCAAACTTGTGGCAGTGGACAACTCCGCCTACAGCATCATCCACACTTGTGGCATTATACCCCTTCACCTACAGCTTCTTCCCCACTTGTGGCAGTAGACAGCTCCACCTACATCTTCATCCACACTTGTGGCAGTGGACAACTCCGCCTACAGCTTCATCCACACTTGTGGCATTATACCCCTCCACCTACAGCTTCTTCCCCCACTTGTGGCAGTATACAGCACCACCTACAGCTTCATCCATACTTGTGGCGGTAGACAGCCCCGCCTACAGCTTCATCCACACTTGTGGCAGTAGACAGCCCCGTCTACAGCTTAAAGCACACTTGTGGCAGCAGACAGCTCCACCTACAGCTTCTTCCACACTTGTGGCAGTAGACAGCTCCGCCTACAGCTTCATCCACACTTGTACCAGTAGACAGCCCCGCCTACAGCTTCATCCACACTTGTGGCAGTAGACAGCCCCGTCTACAGCTTAAAGCACACTTGTGGCAGCAGACAGCTCCACCTACAGCTTCTTCCACACTTGTGGCAGTAGACAGCCCCGCCTACAGCTTCATCCACACTTGTGGCAGTAGACAGCCCCGTCTACAGCTTAAAGCACACTTGTGGCAGCAGACAGCTCCACCTACAGCTTCTTCCACACTTGTGGCAGTAGACAGCCCCGCCTACAGCTTCATCCACACTTGTGGCAGTAGACAGCTCCACCTACAGCTTCATCCACACTTGTGGCAGTATACAGATCCACCTACAGCTTCATCCACACTTGTGGCAGTATACATCTCCACCTACAGCTTCATCCACACTTGTGGCAGTATACAGCTCCACCTACAGCTTCATCCACACTTGTGGCAGTAGACAGCTCCACCTACAGCTTCATCCACACTTGTGGCAGTGCCCATGCAAATTTAAGACAGCCCCGCCTACAGCTTCATCCACACTTGTGGCAGTAGACAGCCCCGCCTACAGCTTCATCCACACTTTTGGCAGTAGACAACTCCGCCTACAGCTTCATCCACACTTGTGGTATTATACCCCTTCACCTACAGCTTCTTCCCCACTTGTGGCAGTAGACAGCTCCACCTACAGCTTCATCCACACTTGTGGCAGTAGACAGCCCCGTCTACAGCTTCATCCACACTTGTGGCAGTAGACAGCCCCGTCTACAGCTTCATCCACACTTGTGGCAGTAGACAGCCCCGTCTACAGCTTCATCCACACTTGTGGCAGTAGACAGCCCCGTCTACAGCTTCATCCACACTTGTGGCAGTAGACAGCCCCGTCTACAGCTTCATCCACACTTGTGGCAGTAGACAGCCCCGTCTACAGCTTCATCCACACTTGTGGCAGTAGACAGCCCCGTCTACAGCTTCATCCACACTTGTGGCAGTAGACAGCCCCGTCTACAGCTTCATCCACACTTGTGGCAGTAGACAGCCCCGTCTACAGCTTCATCCACACTTGTGGCAGTAGACAGCCCCGTCTACAGCTTCATCCACACTTGTGGCAGTAGACAGCCCCGTCTACAGCTTCATCCACACTTGTGGCAGTAGACAGCCCCGTCTACAGCTTCATCCACACTTGTGGCAGTAGACAGCCCCGTCTACAGCTTCATCCACACTTGTGGCAGTAGACAGCCCCGTCTACAGCTTCATCCACACTTGTGGCAGTAGACAGCCCCGTCTACAGCTTCATCCACACTTGTGGCAGTAGACAGCCCCGTCTACAGCTTCATCCACACTTGTGGCAGTAGACAGCCCCGTCTACAGCTTCATCCACACTTGTGGCAGTAGACAGCCCCGTCTACAGCTTCATCCACACTTGTGGCAGTAGACAGCTCCGCCTACAGCTTAATGCCCACTTGTGGCAGTAGACAGCCCCGTCTACAGCTTCATCCACACTTGTGGCAGTAGACAGCTCCGCCTACAGCTTCATCCACACTTGTGCCAGTAGACAGCTCCGCCTACAGCTTCATCCACACTTGTGGCAGTAGACAGCTCCGCCTACAGCTTCATCCACACTTGTGGCAGTAGACAGCTCCGCCTACAGCTTCCTTCACACTTGTGGTGGTAGACAGCTCTGCATACGGCTTGATCCACACTGTCACCCATGCAAATTTAAGACAGCCCCGCCTACAGCTTCATCCACACTTGTGGCAGTAGACAGCCCCGCCTACAGCTTCATCCACACTTGTGGCAGTAGACAACTCCGCCTACAGCTTCATCCACACTTGTGGTATTATACCCCTTCACCTACAGCTTCTTCCCCACTTGTGGCAGTAGACAGCTCCACCTACAGCTTCATCCACACTTGTGGCAGTAGACAGCTCCACCTACAGCTTCATCCAAACTTGTGGCAGTGGACAACTCCGCCTACAGCTTCATCCACACTTGTGGTATTATACCCCTTCACCTACAGCTTCTTCCCCACTTGTGGCAGTAGACAGCTCCACCTACATCTTCATCCACACTTGTGGCAGTGGACAACTCCGCCTACAGCTTCATCCACACTTGTGGCATTATACCCCTCCACCCACAGCTTCTTCCCCCACTTGTGGCAGTATACAGCTCCACCTACAGCTTCATCCATACTTGTGGCGGTAGACAGCCCCGCCTACAGCTTCATCCACACTTGTGGCAGTAGACAGCCCCGTCTACAGCTTAATGCACACTTGTGGCATCAGACAGCTCCACCTACAGCTTCTTCCACACTTGTGGCAGTGGACAGCTCCGCCTACAGCTTCAGCCACACTTGGTAGCAGTAGACAGCTCCGCCTACAGCTTCATCCACACTTGTGGCAGTAGACAGCTCCGCCTACAGCTTAATGCACACTTGTGGCAGTAGACAGCCCCGCCTACAGCTTCATCCACACTTGTGGCAGTAGACAGCTCCGCCTACAGCTTCATCCACACTTGTGGCAGTAGACAGCTCCGCCTACAGCTTCATCCACACTTGTGGCAGTAGACAGCTCCGCCTACAGCTTCATCCACACTTGTGGCAGTAGACAGCTCCGCCTACAGCTTCATCCACACTTGTGCCAGTAGACAGCTCCGCCTACAGCTTCATCCACACTTGTGGCAGTAGACAGCTCCGCCTACAGCTTCCTTCACACTTGTGGTGGTAGACAGCTCTGCATACGGCTTGATCCACACTGTCACCCATGCAAATTTAAGAGCTTGCAGTGGCTTAACAGAGCAAAGCAGGTAAAAGACATGATTTACAAAATCAATCGTCATGCCGCTCTGCTGGAAAATATCCCCCCTGATGAAAAAGACGGAGTGAGATTTGAAGGGCTGTCGATGCAGGAAAAAGCTATGTCAAGCGGTCAGAAGAGCTGGAACAAGCTGCGGCACGAAGTAAACTCACCAGTCTCTCGGCGGGGAGACGGCCCGGGGAATTCAGCCAGCAGACAAGTACAGGCAACTTCTCCTCTGCTAAGCTGTTTATAAAGCTTCTACGATGGCA